GGACACCCCGACGCCGAAATTGCGAAACCTCACTGGAAAGAACAATGGTCCTGGTTTCGGCGAGCCCTCCGTTGTTGAGGCTGGCCACCGCCGTGAGTGAGGGCTCATGTAGTGGCGGTTAAGTAATTCTGTCGTGGCCCAGGAAAATTATCGTCGGATCGGGTGTACTTCGTCGAGGATAGCAACATTTTGAGAAAATTCTCCCTTGAAGAAAAGTCTTCTTTGTCCCAAGCCCCTCCCCCCCCCCAAATTTTGCGTACCCCAAAACCATTTGACGCGCATGAGGTGACCGTAGACATGGTCCTTCGTGCCGATCATGGATGAAATTATGCGAATGGATTTTGAGATGTGACTGTTAGGGAAATTAGGGACGCCGGACGGACGGACATGCATTTTTTCAAAAATAATATGGTTGCATCGGCCCGAGGCATCGGCGAAAGCCTAGAAAAGTTAAAAATTTAATTTTCTTTCTTTTTTTTACGATGACAATACTTCTAAAGTAAAAATTCTTCATTTTATTCGAAATTCGTTATTTAAAGTATTCATCTCCTACAATTTTTCTTTTTGCAGTTATGAAAGTGATCTGAGTGGTGAGAATTATGTGATTCTCTTTGATTTTGGTCTCCTGCACCGAAGTTTCATCCCTTTGAATGGACACTACGGTGATATCAATAGAAAAAATGTTTACACAGTCGTAACAATTGATAACAATTAACAGATCAAAAAACTCTCCGAAACACTCTCTGAGAGCGTTTCGATCTGTTAATTGCTATCAATTGTTACCACTGTCTAAAATTAAGTTATGGCCTTTGTAATCAACACTTTGTGACCCTGACGATGAAGCGCTTGCTTCGAAAAGCTTCGGTCAAATTTTATCAATAAAATGTAAGTTTTTTCTTAAAATGCTACATTATTTCTAGCACTTGGTTATATTCCACATACCGAAAAATTTAATCTGCTACTATCTTTTGGACATTGTGCAAAAGTGCAATGTTCGCTAAACTTGAATAAAAAAAAACTTCGCGGTTCCGTATGAACCGAGGTTCATTTCTTCGTGGTTGCCTCGGGAATTGACAGCATCACTTGGATGCCATATACGCGCGCTCAGGATGTGCGTGTCACGTAACCGGAAAAATGAAGGCGCCTGGTGTTTCCCGCCGCCAATGCCGATGTCGATGCCGGTAGAGTGATGCCGCGTTTTGTGATGCTGGTGGCGTTCCGTCACGAGTCATTGATGCGACGGACTGCGTTAAGCAGAAAGGAACCAAGCCACATAAGCGATTGCCAAATTTAGCTGAGCAATTTAATTTTTTACAAGGAAACGTTCGTGCGGATTCTTTTGAAAATGTTGAGGGATTTGTCTCGTACTACGCAGAAAGTTCACTGAAATTGGCACACAAATCCACACAGCCGTTTTCATGGAAAAAAAATTGAATTGCCCTGTTAAATTTGGCAATATCTGATGCGGCTTGGTTCCTTTCTGCATGACGCGGTGCATATCAACGGTGAAACTACCAAACCACGTATCTCGTTTGCGGTGTTTAAAAATCTACGCTCGCATTTTATTTTTTTAAAGTAGACCAAATCAATATCATTCCTTGAAATTTTCACAGAATTTTCTCCGCACGAAGAGGAAAAATCACAGAAATTTTCAAGACTGGACGTTAAGTAGTTTTTCATTTAAAAAATAAAGTATGACAGGAAGTCTGCGACGTCGCAAACCGAGATACGTGGTTTGGTAG